TCTCTCTCTCTCTCTCTATATATATATATATATATATATATATATATACTTCTTTATTACTAAAAGAGAACAACAAAAAAATCTAAAATGAGCAGTAACATAAGGTTGTTAACAATGAAAAAAAATAAAATGAATAACCAAACCACGTTTCAGAAAATTCAGTTATTATCCAACTCTATTTCCATTTTTTTTCCGAAATAACTAAAAAATACTCTCACTTCTTCTAAAAAAATAAACAACTCTAAACCAACCTCTAACTCCGGTCTTCCGCTGCCGCTGCTTTTTAGAAAACTCGCCATTCTTATTAGAACCGCTGTCTAATAACCATCCATTTTCTCTCTAAACAACCTCTCCTCTCAAGATCCCCTCTTTTCTCTACGTATCCCAATTCAGAACCTCCATCTTCAAATCCGTCTCCCACCTAGGGCTTTGTGCCGACGACACTCTGGCGACTGAGAGGCGGCGACGACGAGGATTAAGCGGCAAGGGCAAGCCACAATCAATTGTAATAGCTCTTCTAAATTTTCAAATCCGGTCTTCCCCTCTTTTCTACTATTTTTTTTAACTAAAGAAGAACAATGAATGAACAGGAATAATCTTTGGACCAATCAGATTTTTTGAAAAAAATCCAACGAAGATAAAAAATCCAACTCATCTTCGTACTAAACTTCCTTTTTACAATTCTCCTTGAAAAAACTTCCCACGTTTCACATCCATTTCTCCTTGAAAAGGTTTCCAAACTTCCCCTTTTACAACCCACAATTCTCTCTCTTCCTATCACAATCTTCAGAAAAAGATTCAGAAAATAAAAAAAACTCCTCTGCTCCTCCTCCTCCTCCATCTTCAATGGCATCCTCCGCCTCCTTTGCTCCACCACCGCCGTCGCCGCCTCTGCCGCCGTCGGCAGCGAAGAAGAGTTTCCTTCGCCGGGTACTCCCTTTCTCCTCACCGCCAATCTCGCCGTTGGAGGTAAAAAAAAAGTTGCAATTTTTAGGGTTTTAACTCAACTCCTTGGTTCTTATTGTTCCTTTTCTCAATAAAAAAATTGCAAAATTCCACCTTTGATTTTTTTATGAGATTTTAAAAAAGATCATTGCTGAATACATTTGGTTCGATCTATTGCTTCTCTGGCTTTTTATTTTCCGTTTGATTAATTTAGTGATATGTTTGATTTTTAAAAAAGATCATTGCTAAATACATTTGGTTCGATCAATTGCTTCTCTGGCTTTTTATTTATGGGTTTGTTTTGTTTTTTTGTTTGAGTTTATGATATATTTGCTTTTTGATCATTAGAGTTTATGGGTAATCATTACTTTTGGATGGTGTTGAGTTTGATCGTTGTTATGAAGTTTGGTGAAGTATATATTTCTCTTGATATTTTCTTTGCTTCTGCTTATTAACCCATTTATAGCTCTGGTGTTGATGTTTGCATTAGAGATTTATTTCAAATTTTATGTTATTTTAAATGGTTAGTTTATTTCTAATTTTTTGGGGGTTTTTGGCGATCACCTGGTGAAAGTTCTGATCTTTAGTGCTCAGTTTTGTGATGTGTTGATGAATGATTTGATTTTTATGGGGTTATTATTATTATTTTGCTAGATGGGTTTTCTTTTTTGTGATATTTTGACGAATGATTTGATTTTTGTGATATTTTGCTAGATGTGTTCGAAAGCTAAATAATTGTACAGCCTTTTAGATTTATAACATCTCATACAATTGAAAGCAATTCTCAAAACAACCTTTTAGCTTTCTCTCAAAGATTTTAGGACTTTTTCATATGGTACAATAGATTTATATTGAGCTTACTTTTGATTACTAATAAGCACACCATCCTAATTAGTTACTGAAGATTAGGCCGCAAAGAGGAATAGAGGTTTTTCCGTATAATTTTGTAAATATTTGCTCAATTTTCCACACAATTGACTGACTCCACTTCTTGAACTTCAACATTTTAACTTCCCTGAAGAGCAAATAAAGGACTAGATTATTTTTTTCTCCCTTTTTTCCGAAATTTGTGAATTTCATTCTTTTTTAAAGTGCATAATTCCATCTGTTGACTCTTTTGGAAGTTGCAATGAGAAATACGGCATGTTTTCTTCGCTGCATTAAACTGGAACTGCTTAATTTCTAAAATAAAAACGAAATAATTTGATTCTTATTTGGGGTTCATTTGGTTGTTTGGCTGTCGCTCTCTGTAGATATATTTTTCCCTTCGTGTGTTTGTGGAAAAGCCTCAATCAAAATTTTAGAAAGGAAGCCTCATATAGCCAATGAATATTAGAGGAAGTTAATAAATAAAAAAAATCGATGTGCTTCCTGACTAAACAAATGCCAAAATGGGTTTTGCTCTTTTGGCATACACTAAAAAAAAATAGCTTAAGATAATGCTAGCAACAGCCCCATACCCATTTTTAGTTTCTCACAGTCTGTGCCATCTTTCCTAAATAATTGCTGTGTTCAATAGGCTCTAACTATGCGCTAATGATTTCATTTTAAGGCTCCTAAATAATTGTTGTGTTCAATAGGCTCTAACTACGCGCTAATGATTTCATTTTAAGACTCGAAGCACATGCAATAGGATAAAGGTGATATAATACATAACCATGGCTGACCAACGTGCATCAGAAGAACCTGAAGAGCAAATTGATCTTGATGGAGACAATGACATTAAAGATATGATGGATGATGAAGACCCTGTAGAAGATGATGGATACAGGAGCAGAGATGAATACAGAGAGCAAGATTCTGTAAGAAATGATAGCTATAGGAGAACAAGAGATGAATTTGAGGAGAAAGATCCAGCAGATACTTAGTTTTATTAATGAATCTGCTTACACGTTTAAGAAAGTAAATTTATAAAACAACCCGTGCTTTGCACGGGCATGAAAACTATATATATATATATATATATATATCTCTCTATATATATATATATATATATATATATATATATATATATATATATATAAATACATACATATATACATACATATAAACCCCCAAAACATAGAGTGTCTCACAAAGCTTCCCTAAATTTTGTGAAATTTACCCTTGAAATAAATTGATGGGCATTGAATTAGATAATATTTGCTTTCTCTCCTAGATAGAAAGTGCAATTTCTTGCTGTTTGCTGCTCTGAATCCGTGAGAGTTATTTTTGGTTTAAAAGACCAATCTTTTTTTCTTTACAAAGTAGCAGAATGTTGTTGAAACTTGGAAATTTTCTTCTATTGCTATGCTGACTGAATATATATAGTAACATGAGCATTTTTTTCCCTTCACGATTTCATCACCTTGAAGAATTCACGAAACCTTGAGTCGAGTCGACATGAGCTTCTCTTTTCAAGTTTTGGTAAATCACGAATAGCTCCGGGGCTTTAGAAACAACCGCAATGTTTCCTAGCATGAAGTTGTTCAAGAAATATAGGTACACTCTTCAGCATGGGATTAAAGGATTCGGGCATTTGAACATAAGCAGTTCAGGTGATTTTCATCTTTATGTGGTTTGTCAAAATTTCACACGGACATCATATTAAAGTGAATTGCCTTCATGTTAACTATCTTAATTTTTTTTTTGGTTGTAGGGTTGAAATCAATCCCCCCTTTGCGTGATACCTCACATTCTGCAAGCAGACGATTTTCTTCCTCTTCTGAAGAAGTATTGATTGCTTTAGGTAGCAATGTGGGCAACAGAGTCCAGAATTTCAACATGGCTTTGGACTTGATGAAGAAATCAGGCATAAACATCACAAGACACGGGTGCTTGTACGAGACGGAACCTGCTTATGTCACCGACCAGCCGTTGTTTTTAAATTCAGCGGTTAGGGGGACTACTAAACTCGCGCCTCATGAATTGTTGGAAGTGCTGAAGCGAATAGAAAAAAAGTTGGGTCGGACCGAGGGGATAAGGTACGGCCCGAGACTGATTGATTTAGATATTCTTTTCTACGGTAAAGTAAAGGTCGAATCTGAATCTCTCAACATCCCGCATGAGCGCATATGGGAGAGACCCTTTGTAGTTGCTCCACTTGTGGACCTGTTAGGCTCATCTATGGATGATGCAACTGAACAAAATTGGCATTTGTTGTCTAGAAACAACGGCGGGCTGTTTGGAGTATGGGAGAAGCTTGGGGGAGAAAACTTGGTTAGAAGGAAAGAGATGAGAAGAGTTTTACCGATAGGAGATCACTTATGGGATTGGTCAGAGAGAACCCACGTCATGGGTGTCCTCAATCTTACTCCAGATAGTTTTAGCGACGGAGGGAAGTTTCAAGATGTGGAAGCTGCAGTTTCTCATGTTAAGCAGTTGATTTCACAAGGGGCGGATATTATTGATATCGGTGCGCAGTCCACCCGGCCATTTGCACGCAGGATATCTGCAGATGAGGAGCTTGAGAGGTTGACTCCTGCGCTTGATGCAATTTTAAAAGTTCCCGAGGTGGAGGGGAAGCTATTGTCAGTGGAAACTTTTTATGCGAAAGTCGCGTCGGAGGCTGTGAAGAGAGGGGCTCATATTGTAAATGACGTCTCTGGTGGGCAGCTTGATCCTGAAATTCTCACTACAGTTGGAAGTCTTGGAGTCCCCTACGTTACCATGCACATGAGGGGAGATCCGTCTACAATGCAAAGTGATGAGTATTTGCAATATGATGATGTTTGCAGACAAGTGGCTTCTGAGCTATGCTCACGTGTGAAGGATGCAGAGCTTTCAGGAATTCCTTCATGGAGGATTATTATTGACCCTGGTATTGGATTTTCAAAGAACACCAAACAGAACTTGCAACTTCTCACGGGTCTAGAATCCATCAGGAGACAAATTGGGGAAAAGAATGTGGCTGCTCCACATGCTCCATTGTTAGTTGCTCCCTCAAGAAAAAGTTTTTTGGGGGAGATCTGCAATCAAAGTAATCCAATTGAGAGGGATCCTGCCACAGTTGCAGCGGTTGCGATCGGAATTCTCAATGGTGCTAATATCGTAAGGGTCCATAATGTTAGAGATTGTCTTGATGCTGCCAAAGTGTGTGATGCATTGATTAAGCAAAGAGAACGTCACCTTTTACCTGACCGACAAAGAGTAACTTCAAAACCTTGAACCATATAAGTTAGAAGCAATCTTTACAGGTACTATTGTCGGTTTCGGGTGACTTATCTGGTTTGATTTTCTAAAGTATCATGTAGACTCCCTTGTGCCTCCACTGTGAGGCCATGTCGTGTCCAACACGTGTTTCCATTGTGTAATGTTAAACAAACTATTTATGTTGCATTTTCAATAAACTTCAACTTATTTTCGGATGAACTTTGCGTGCTCAATCCTTATCAAGAAAAAGGTAAATAGAGTTTTAATGAAGAAACTATTGTTTTGTTGTAAAGTCCTTGTTATAATTGGAGAAATTCTTTCTCAACATTATTGTTTATCAGAGGTTTTTTTGGCAATCCACTTGTTTGATTTTAAAAAGAATACTAATCTTAACCTTGATTGTTGGCTCGTACATTTTTGGCAATCCACTTGTTTGATTTTAAAAAGAATACTAATCTTAACCTTGATTGTTGGCTCGTACATGCAATGTTTTCTTATTCATTTTTCTTTTAAAAAGAATACTAATCTTAACCTTGATTGTTGGCTCGTACATGCAATGTTTTCTTATTCATTTTTCTGCTTAAGCTACTATTGCTTCGGTTTGTATTATAGCATTTATCCCATTTGTTCTTAAAAAGTTGAAAGACAATTTGAATAAGTTTATGTAAGATTCTAGGATTTAATCTTTCGTATTTGTTCAGTCCATGGTTAATTTCATGCTTGTTGTCATAAAAATATAGCTGTAAGTACGAAGGGTAATTATCAATTGTAGCACTTTGTTAATGTAATGATAAACTTGACCGCAAACGCTGAATGTTTAAATCCCTTTGTTTCCTCTACACAAATCTTCATCATATTGTACACCTGAGGATATAAATGCAAATGAATTGTTATAAGTTCGACTGTACTTGAGAAACAGTAAAGATTCATTTGTATTTGAAGTGTATAATTCATACGGTTCATCTAGAACTTCACTTATAACTTTGTTGCAGATAAGATATATCCTTCACTGGAAACTGTTGCAAGCCAATCTGTATAAGTAGTTCTCTTTTTTCTAACATTTTGGCGAGGGAGTAATTGAATTTTAGGAGTAAATATTGACGTGGAAGATCCATTTTGCATGTCCTTATTAGGTGAATTGGAAGTTGAGCAACCAACATTTGGTATTTAGTAGATGTCAGTTATCATTAATGCTCTAACTAAATAATAATCATAGAATAAAATGTTATCGAGAAGGAAGCATATCTTAGACGAACCTGTTTAAAAAATGCTATAGTAGGTAACAGGCGCTTTTCCTTTGCCTTGCAAATCTGTATGTATAAAACTAATTCTTTGTTTTCTTTGTTGCAAGTATTAGAGGTGCATTTTAGTAATTACAGGAGTGAAAGGGTCCTTTTTCATTCATTTTACCCAAAGCGTCTAAAAGAGCAGCTTACCTACAATAGAATTTACTGAAAGTGTAGAGTCGTTTACTCGAATCCCTGGCTGATTGTGTTTGCAGGGTGCGTGGACACTTTCAGCTGCAAAGCGATGTTGCATTCTCTGCACAGCTTGCACACAGGTCGGGAAACTATTGTTTTCTGTCATAGAAGATTTCTTTTCAGAGGTTTTTTTAAATCTTCTGTAGACTAATTGCTGAAGGTTCCTTTTTATTTTTCTTCTATAATGCTCCAACTCTGGACCAACCAACAAAACTTTTTTCATTTTGATGTTTAATTACATCTGAACACATGTTTACTACTATTCTGATTGAACTTTTTCTTTTCTTGTCTTAATTCCTTGCATTCTGTGTGCAATGCCGTCATTTTCATGCCCTCTTTTTCTTGAGTAAAAAGCTTCATGTTTTTCTGGCTGAAGTTTCAGTGTTTATATCTTCAGGGAGCTCATCCTTAGTCTTTTTGTTTTCGTGTTGTTGTTTTTTCAAATGATAAGTTTCCCTTGTTTTCCTTCTTATTTCAACTTTTTTCTTTTTGGGTAAACGTGTGAATACCAGTTGCCTCTACTTTTGTCTTCTTTTCTACTTAATTTTGTTTTGAAATAGTTCTCCATATATTTCTTTCGCTCTTCTTTTTTTGCTTTTATCCCCCTCTTCAGCTAGAGAAGCATGCCATTATCTGTTATATTCATTTCGTTTCAATCTAACTTCTATTGGTACTGACATTAAGAACAGTAAACACCATAATCATTATCATTTATCACACTGAAGATCATAATCATTATCATTTATTGTCTCTGTAGAAAAAATTAATTTCCTAAATTTAAGAAATTTCACATATATGTTGAGAAATACCAGAAAATTACAAATAAATAAAAAAGAATACTTTAATTATTTTAAGAGAATTCATGAAGATATAGCGTGGGAAGGATGGAAGTTTTCCATGATTTACCTTTTTTGGACAGCAGCATATTAGCTTCAGTGATTGATACTTTCCCATCAAAGCCTCTGTCTACTAGAAGTGGTGAATATAAGGTGCAAGAAATTGTTGTCATCAATGAGGAGTATGTGCATAAAATTTCCCCGACTACCACTCTCTTATTTTGCTGCCTATATATGCGGAAAAATTAGTTTGTGTTTTTATGCATCTCTCTAAAACAGAAAAGAAAACTTATAGTACTAACCACTAAAGTTTCTCAAAAGAAAGATCACTTCATCTGATAATGTCAGTCAGTAATGCATGATTTCTATCAATCTCATTTTTGTACTATTCTCTCTCCTGTATATTTCTTTTTCTCTATATTTCATACATTCATCTCAATTTTAGAGTCATTTTATGTTGTGTGATCTTTGCTGTTAACAAGACATTTCACACCAATCACTGTAAAGATTATGATTTAATTTTGGATGCAGGATTGATAAAAGTTCATAATTTTTTTTGTGAATATGATCATGGCCTTACTGAAGGTAATAATTGTTTGTATTTGGTTTATTGTTTTTCCATTAATATTGCACAAGGAGACAAATGTTCCACTATCTGTTTTGAAATCAGTGCAAACAACTAAAGATCATTAAGGATGCATCTACAGCGTATTGAGAATATATGCCCTACGTTGAGCGTTATGATTGTCATTTCTTCGTGTTACGTGTTCGTGACTGTTACAATCATTTCTTCTCTTCCATGTTGAAGCCCATCATTTTGACGATAGGGGATGATTTCGTTCATAATAAATGAAGAGTCATAGTAGAGAAGATTAAAACATGACCCCTTATCATCGGAGCACGACTAAAAGTCACATCCTTTAATGGTATATTATGTGTTACTATCTTATATTAAACCAACCACCTGGTCACATTAATAATACATGCACAGACTTTTTATTACAGGCATATCTTTATTTACTAAATCTTTGATCAACTTGACCATTCCACAGACAGCCACGTTGCGAAACAGGTATTACTCTTACGCCATGAATTAGTTGTCATTTCTTTTATACTGAATGATAATCTATGTTCTTCAATTGGTATTCTAGCCTTTGCGTATGTGCAATCCCTTAATAGGTCTCTCTACTACTTAGAAGTCGTGATTTTTTTCTTTGCCTTGACGTCCTATCTCTTATGAGGACAGAACTATTTGGAGTTTCTGCTAATTATCTGCTCGCCGCATCGCTGGCCTTTTGTCCATCATAGCCTCAGTTAAGAATGAGTTATTTGTGGGCTTTTTTATTGTTGAATATTTATTTACCTGGAGCTGGCCACCCGTTTCTTAGAAATGGAGGGTCATCAAATTGAAGAAGATTTTGCTTCATTTTTATGAGCCTTATTTTTGGGTGACTTCAATTATTCCATATCTCATAATATACTTGACCAGATCTTAATCTGAATATTTTTAAGCTCCAGTGTTTTGCTTTTGTCTTGTTTTCTCTGTTTCCTTTCTTGGATTACTTTGGATTGCTGAGCTTCTAATGTTGCTACATATTGCCCTTCATATTCTCCTTAAAAATTTCTCTGTTTTTAGTGTTGTTTGATTATCTTTTGAATATTTATTTCTCCTTGCTTGCTACCATGTTCAGTTCAATGATGTAATGACCATTTAGTAGTTTTTTAGGCAGCATCCAAAATGGTCATTAGTAATCAAATCCAGAGAATAGCTTCTCCATTAATTGGTCAACCCTGATCTACTCTTCTTCTCATTAATTCAGACTGTCAATTTGTTTATAGTCTTTGTTTGATGTCATTTGAATTTACCTATGACAATATTAGGAAACCTTTCCCTTGCTTGATGCCATTATACCTTTAAATATTGAGTGAATGATTCAATGAAGAACTTTAACAATGCATTTTTCAAATTTCTTTGAGGTCATCAAATCCACTTTAGACTTGCTCTGTTGTCTAGTGATGGTTCCCAGGTGGTGGTTTGACTTGTAAATCGATGTCTAATCTCAGCAATGTTGTGCTTGGTGTGTTCTTGTTAACACTTACCATTAACTTGTGTAGTTTCAACTTTGATGCGTTGCGCTGTTTGTTAACGTGTCTTGCTTCTTAGTTTCCTTTTGTTAAGAACATGATTGCATCTGCTTATGATCTTCCTTCACTATGTATTCTTTATTTTTCATCAACTGGAAGATAGCTTCGTATGTGCGCCTCTATGGAAACATTCATACTATTTCTCCTGGTCGATGAAATCTCATTTTAGAGTATATCCTTATTGGACTTGTGAAAAAATTTCCTTGAGCATTTTAGCATAAGCTGGGTTTTGCCATCAGGAAATCCTTGAAAATTTTTATGAGGCATTCGAGCAATTTCTCTCCATTCTTTCTTGTGAAGCTCCCAGATACCAAATCCCCTTGATACTATCCAGCCCATCATACTTTTCGATACCACCCACCACCACAATTTCATCTTTTAAGTTCATTAACCAGCCACAACTAAGAGGACAAGGGTTTGAATCAAAGTTTGCTGAATTGAAATGAGGCAATCTTTAAGGGAGGTCACCTACAACTGAGTCTCAGACTCATATATGAAAACAGGTAACTCCCATCTTAGATAATCACCAGGAACTTGCTTAGATTTTGCCATAGCAACGTTATATGTATGATTTTCTCTGTCCACAGAAGTGGCAATAGAGGTGTTTAATGAAATGTCCAAGAGAAGTTTAGTTTTGTGCATCGCCACGATCTTAGCCCACTGTTATACCTTCCTACGCACTCCGGTTGCTCCTCGCCATTCTATATTGTTGCCAACACCCAACGTAATGCATCTACCCCTCAAATTAGAAATCATTCGTCAATGCATACTAACTTTTTGACCAAATACCTAAGAGAATCCCCACTCTTAGCATTCGATCATATCTTTGCATTGCTATCACATTGCAACCCAAACGACAAATCAACTACAGCCTACAATATGATGTACAAAGTAGTATCCAATGTATCGTGTTGTATAAAATTTTCTATATCATGTATATATAGATGATTGTGTGTATATTGTATCAAATGCACTATCCAATGTATCATGTTGTGTCAAAATTTATTAGTGTATCTAGTGGAAATGTATCTAGTAGAAATGTATACAAAGTACACATTATAAAAAATGCATCAGATTTTACTGTAGCAAAAAATTATTGACTCAAAATTTTTTGCATCTCCAAAAGACAATACAGAGATATATTTTAGCAATAAAAAGCTACACTTCTGCTATAAAGAGCTATACAACTATATAAGGAGCTATATTTTACAAATAAAGAGATATATTTTAGGTTTAAAGAGATATACCTTAGGCATAAAGAGCTATATCATTGTATAAAGAGCTATATTTTTATTATAAGATGCTACACTTCCGTATAAAGAGCTACACTTTCCCCAAAAACTGTATAAACAATAGTGGACATGTCAGTTATACAAAGAATTGTTCAAACAACTCATTGTATACATAATCACACATTTACATTGTTCAGAAAAAAACTGATTCGATTTATTTTTAGTTTCAGAATTTTCAGAGATATAAAGAGATATACTTTACATTAAAGAGCTATACTTTAGGTATAAAGAGCTATACTAATGTATGAAGAGCTGCACTTTTAGCATAATTAGCTACGCTCCCAGCATAGTGAGCTACACTTTTCCAAATATTGTATCACTGAGAGTGGAGATGTCAGTTATATAAAGAATCGATCAAACATTGTATTGTACATATCATCATACATTTACATTGTTCAGAAAAATACTGACCAATTTTTTTTAGTTTTAAAAATTTTAGAGATAATAAAGAGCTATATTAGCATTAAAGAGCTTCACTTCCAGCATAAAGAGCTGATTTTTTCTCATCGAACCTTAGATACGATGGTCAAATCTGATTTCTTTCTCGGCCACGAGGATAACATGTTGTGGGTTGTGTGCTCGTGGTTCCCATGGTGCATGTGGCTCACCTAATCCTTGCCGGCGACGCCCTTGATCAGGCTCACACTCACGCTGATGTTGTTTTTCCTTCCTCTTGGAATTGAGAATCACCTCTTAGAGCTATGAAATGATGGAGAGAGAGGGGGGAGAAGAGAGAGCGAGCAATTGTATTTGGGGATGAAGGGTATAGTATATGAATTTTTTATTTATTGGAGAAATACGATATACAAAATGAGGGTATTATACAAACTGTGTTTAAAAATAAGTGGGATGAGATACTTTGGATTTATGAATGTTTATATAAGTGAATGAGTTTTTTAATAAGTGAGGGTAAATTTTTGGGCTAAAAGAGAAAAACCCCTCTTATTTATAAAGACTAAGTGCCATTGCAATTAGTAAAGCATTGTTGTGTGGATCCTAGAATACACTCTGTTTCAAGCTTGTATTTGTTCTATTCTATATTTCAACAAATCAATCAATCAATCAAACATGTTGTTTCAAATGCAATGAATGTATAGAGAAAAAGATTTTAGCAACGTTAGGGAACTGAACCCACATATATTTTTACTTTTCATGACAGTAATGCATTATATGGTCCATACGGTGGGATCATATTCTGCTTGTTTGTGTTCGCATGTGATTTAAGAACACATGAGATTTGTTTATAGAATAAAGAAAACCATTAAATGTAAACAAATTGACATAAAAGATAACGGTTGTGTTGCTTGTAAAGTAAAGCATTATTACAGCTCACAACATCCACGCATGCACAGACATAGATCTTACAACACACACGCACGCCCATCCACATGAGCATGTATATATGCATGACGGTTAAACTACCATTCATTTACTAAGCTTCAGGAATAACTACATCAGCAGCAGAGGTCCAGAGAATGTCCCATTTGGAGATGAAGTGGCAGACTTCGGTCTTGCCGGGCTCAGATTTGAGCGCTCTGAACGCTTCGTGTGTTGGGGTCCACATCGAGGTATCCATGTGACACGTGACAGTCGCATGGTTAATCTTCTCCTTGCTCTCCACATCCAATATCTCCACCTCATAGGCCCTGGTCTTGGAAACTACATGGCAATGGTAAACCAAGTAGGGAAACTCTACCTGGTGGCAACTCAATGCATTACCTTCGCTCACGAGCTTCACACCCCCGATCAAAACATCACGACTACACCCCCTGGTGCTCTCGGTGCTCCGTGCTTCGATGTTATCGGTCTCCAAACCCTTGATCACGAAGTCGATCAAGTCCTCTGCCGACATGATGCACTGCCTTATCTCTCCTGGGAACTTTGGTGGCATATTGCAGTGTTTTACAGTGAAGTCCACATTCTTGCTTGCTATATCAGCTGGCATAATGTGGAACATCTTTTTTATGGCAGCAGCGGAGTTGAAGGGCATCTTGCTGGCGAGGGTCCTTGGTAAGAAGTACTGCTGTGGAAAGTAGTCTCTAAAGTCAACAAAACGCATTATGTTGCCTTGCCTCAAATCACTCACTTTGAAGTAGACGCCGAGTGGGTCGATAACGGTGTCGGTATGGATGTAACCATTTTTATCATCCTTTTCTAATTTTTTTTGAAGGCCCTCATGGTTTTCTGCTTCTTTACTGTTGTCCCAGTTCCAGGTGACTGGTGGTTTTTTCTGCCTAAGCTCCGCATATGAGTCTTCTGATTCTTTGCTTGGGTCTGTCCAAATAAAGGAAAGAGATAAATTAAACTTGTATGCTCAATAGTTATAAAAAAGAGAACACTACCTCATAACTATACACTTCATAAAATACCTACAAAGTAAGCTCTAATAGGTAGTAGATGACTATATCGAAGAAACGTTCCAATAGAAGCATACTACGTCTAACTCATAGATTGGATCTAGACATATCTTAACAGAAGTAGTGGCTAATGAAGGCAATGAATCTTCTTAATGTTTCGATGAGATCATACGTACCGTTGTGATCCCTGCTCCGGAGAGACGATATTTTCTGCCTAAGCTCCTCATAGAGGCTTTCTGCTTCTTTACTGCTGTCCCAGTTCCAGGTGACTGGCGGTTTTTTCTGTCTAAGCTTCGCATATCGGTCTTCTGATTCTTTACTTGGGCCTGTCCAAATAAAGGAAAGAGATAAAAAAACTTGTATGCTCATTTGTTAGAAAGAAGAGAACGCTACCTCATAACTATACACTTCGTAAAATACCTACAAAGTAAGCTCCAATAGATTGTAGATGCCTATATTGAAGAAACATTCCAATAGAAACACACTACGTCTAACTCACAGATTGGATCTAGACACATCTTAAAAAGTAGCGGCTAATGAAGGTAATGAATCTTCTTAATTTTTCGATGAGATCATACGTACCGTTGTGATCCCTGCTCCAGAGAGACGATATTTTCTGCCTAAGCTTCTCATAGAGGCTTTCTGCTTCTTTACTGTTGTCCCAGTTCCAGGTGACTGACGGTTTTTTCTGCCTAAGCTTCGCATATCGGTCTTCTGATTCTTTACTTGGGCGTGTCCAAATAACGGAAAGAGATAACAAAATATTTGTATGCCCGTTAGTTATAAAGAAGAGAACACTACCTCATAACTATACACATCGTAAAATACCTACAAAGTAAGATCCAATAGGTAGTAGATGCCTATATTGAAGAGCGTTCCAATAGAAGCATAGTACATCTAACTCACAGATTGGATCTAGACACATCTTAACAAAATTAGGGGCTAATAAAGGGAATGAATCTTCTTAATGTTTCGATGGGATCATACGTACCGCTGTGATCATGGTTCCATAGAGACGGTATTTTCTGCTTAGCCTCCTCATAGAGACTTTCTGCTTCTTTGCTGTTGTCCCAGTTCCAGGTGACTGGCGGCTTTTTCTGCCTGAGCTCCACATATCGGTCTTTTGATTCTTTGCTTGGGTCTGTCCAAATAAAGGAAAGAGATAAAATAAACTTGTATGCTCAATAGTTATAAAGAAGAGAACACTACCTCATAACTATACACTTCATAAAATACCTACAAAGTAAGCTCCAATAGGTAGTATATGCCTATATTGAAGAAACGTTCAAATATAAGCATACTATGTCTAACTCACAGATTAGATCTAGACACATCTTAACAAAAGTAGTGGCTAATGAAGGCAATTAATCTTCTTAATGTTTTGATGGGATCATACGTACCGCTGTGATCCCCGCTCCGGAGAGACGGTATTTTTTGCCTAAGCTCCTCATAGAGGCTTTCTGCTTCTTTACTGCTATCCCAGTTCCAGGTGACTGGCGGTTTTTTCTGCCTAAGCTTCGCATATCGGTCTTCTGATTCTTTACTTGGACCTGTCCAAATAAAGGAAAGAGATAAAAAAATTTGTATGCTCATTAGTTATAAAGAAGAGAACGCTACCTCATAACTATACACTTCGTAAAATACCTACAAAGTAAGCTCTAATAGGTAGTAGATGACTATATCGAAGAAACGTTCCAATAGAAGCATACTACGTCTAACTCATAGATTGGATCTAGACATATCTTAACAGAAGTAGTGGCTAATGAAGGCAATGAATCTTCTTAATGTTTCGATGAGATCATACGTACCGTTGTGATCCCTGCTCCGGAGAGACGATAGTTTCTGTCTAAGCTCCTCATAGAGGCTTTCTGCTTCTTTACTGCTGTCCCAGTTCCAGGTGACTGGTGGTTTTTTCTGCCTAAGCTCCGCATATCGGTCTTCTGATTCTTTGCTTGGGCCTGTCCAAATAAAGGAAAGAGATAACAAAATATTTGTATGCTCATTAGTTATAAAGAAGAGAACACTACCTCATGACTATACACTTCATAAATTACCTATAAAGTAAGATCCAATAGGTAGTAGATGCCTATATTGAAGAACGTTTCAATAGAAGCATAGTACATCTAACTCACAGATTGGATCTAGACACATCTTAACAAAATTAGGGGCTAATGAAGGCAATGAATCTTCTTAATGTTTCGATGTGATCATACGTACCTTTATGATCCCGGCTCCAGAGAGACAGTATTTTCTGCCTAAGCTCCTCATAGAGGTTTTTTGGTTCTTTGCTTGGGTCTGTTAAAATAAATGAAAGAAATAAAAAAAATTATACTCTCATTAGTTACAAAAAAAAGAATACTACCTCATAATTATATACTTTGTAAAATACATATAAGTAAGCTCTAATAATAATAGAAACATATTTTAAAGAAACGTTCCAATAGAAGCATACTACATCTAACTCAAATTGAATCTAGACATGTCTTAGTAAAAGTAACTAATAATATAATATCAGCTAATAAAGGCAACAAACCT